ATTCTTTCTTTTTTCGTTTCTGGGTGGAACGATGGATAAATTGTTAATACTTTTTGGTACAAAGATATCAAGATTTTTGTCTTGTTAGTATTATGAAAAATGGGTTCCTTTTAGAATTGTTTTTATGTATAGCCTTTTTTACATATGATAGTTTTTTTTTAATAGTATGATAAAAAATTTGAAATTGATATATGTGTTTTATTATTTTTTTTGTAATATTATAGTTACAATACTAAATAGAATTATAAATTTATTATTTTATATAGTATTAAATGAGTATGATGTGATATTAAATAAATAGATACAAATAATATATATATATATATATAAACTAATTATATAATGACACATAGTATTATAAACTTATAGTATAATGTTTAATCTTTAATTAATTAATATTTTGAAAATTTTAAAGATTTTCCTTATCTTACCAAATAATTAAAAATATTTTATTTAGAAGTTTTTCAAAGTGTTTCATGCATTAAAAAATAATTTTTAGAAAAAAAAATATTTTTCATAGAAAATATTTTTCAAAATGAAGTTATTTTCTGTGAATTAAACAGATCGACTCTTAATCTTTCTTCTTTCTCCTTTTCTTTGCTTCTCTCCTCTTTCTAATCCTGTTAGTTTTGTTAGCAACCTTTCTTTTTCTTTGTTTTCGCCTTCCTTCTGTTTTCTAATTTTCTTGCCTTTTTTTGCTTTAATCTTTTTACAGAGTTCCAGCAACTAGTGACTGGGAAGAGAAAGAACGCCTTTAAGCTATAAGTCTCAACTTTCAATAATTGACATATTTATATTTATTAAAAATAATTAATTTTTTAAAAAATTATAATAATAATAAATGTCCCGCACATGATGCCTTATTGGCCACCCCCTTGCGGACGTGCGTGGGACTAATGAAACTTGGGATCAAATCGCAGGTCTCCTTCTTTTTTCCCGGAAAAAAAGAGTTTCACACTGTTCAAAAAAAAATTTATAATAAATTTCATTTATAAAAAATAAAAAAATAAAAAATTAAAATTTTGTGTAAATATAATATATAAAATTTATGTATAAATATATTCCTCCATATATATAAAACATAATCATTTAAAAATTAGATTAATAAAACCACCAGTAACCTAGTAATAAAATTATTTATACTTTTAGTTATCAATTTAAAATTTAATTTTTAATCTTTAGTATAAAATATATATATATATATATATATGGAGGAATAAAAAAAAATAAAAATGAAACCCAGCGTGGTGTTAATCTTGATTGAAAACAATTTGTTCTCGCAATCAAATTGAAAATGGGATGGCTGGATCTTTACAAATTATAACTTCCACTGGAACCTTGGTTGTTCTTCATCTTTCCCATTTCCGTTTGCCGGATGGCTTGGCCTTCGCTACTAGACCCGGAAGGATACAGGCCATTTTCGCTGGTCGGGTTGCTGTACTCACTGCTAGCACCGTGTTCTGTGCTTCCCAATGCCATTTTCCTGTGCTTTTTCATGTCTTCATTGTACTGGTTGGCGTCATAATCTGGAGTACCGTGACTGTAGATGCTGCTGTGTCCAGGTATGATTCCTTCATTGAGGTCAGACAGAGATGCCTCTCCTTCTAGAGCACGGACTATCTGCGTAGTTATAAAATTTTAGTTAGATTGGTTAGAAAAAGGGCAATCTCCAGTTAATATTTTAATAATTACCTGGCTCATTCGTGGCCGAATTCTTGATGAATGTCGCACGCAAGCAGCAGCACAGGTAACCATGCGTGCCATCTCATTGTGGTTATATTTGTTTTGAAGTCTTGGATCAGCCAGACTGTCAAAGTTTTTGTCATCCAGGGCTCGTGTAAGCAGTGGCCTCGCCTGTAATGCCAGGGCAGAATTAGTTGAGAAGACATTCAAAAGTTCAAACTCTAAAAACTGCACCTTGAATACATTTATTAAGAACCAACGATCTATTG